TCTATATCCATTGCGATCCTGAGAATAAATAAACATTATTATTATTATATTATTATTATTTTTATCTTCTACCTCATGTTAATGCACACATCTGCCGTACTTTGGTAGAACATAGTAACCAAAGTTACTAGGTTTTAAAAAATTACTGCATTTTTGGATTTAGCGTTCAAATTTATCTCTAGTAACTATTTTTTATATTTTTTTATATTACGGTGGCTGTAAAATGTCTATCTCTATTTTGAGTAACTTCTAAAAACTGTTATGTATCCTAAAGCAAAATATGGCAAATAAACTTACTATTAACAATGTTCAATTTTTTTAATTTCACCCAGTAAAAGCTAGTAACTCAAGTTGCTAGGGTTAACGCAAAGTATTTTCTAATGGTGATAATAAAGCTGCTGTTGTTGGCGGGAGTATTTTAAAGTTATTAAATAATTAATATTAAGCTTTATGTATATGGGGCAAAATTTGCCAAGTGTACCAGGTAAAAAAATTTTTGTCACCGATTTTGTTTAAACTTTACTTATTTGTTGTTCTTATAACGAAGAATCATACCATAAAATTTTTTTGCTCTAGGATTGTTCATTCAAAAGTTATGGATTATTGAAATTTATCGATTTTTTACTTTTTGGTGAAATCGCTTTTTATTTAAAAATTCATAACTTCTGTTCATCTCTTTATTAAATATTTCAATTTAACCACCTTAAATGATTTTTTCCGTACTTTTCAATGGGCATTACCGCTTTTGCAAAAAAATAAAAATTGCAATTTTTTTTTGAAATTTTGCAAAATTTTGCATTTTTTGAAACAATGTGTATTTTTTTATTTTTTTTAAAATAGCATAAAATCCAAGTTTATTATGTTACCTTTGAATAAAAAAAAAATTTAGAGTGGGCCCGACATGTAGAAAGGAAGTTTTTCATATTTGAATGCCGCACGGTCTAGCCATCGAATAGCTACTACACTGCCGTATGCGTTTATACCTAGTAGATGCGAGTAAACGAATACAAAATGATAATTTTAAATGTAAAATTATGTTTGAGTAGTCAATGATGTATTTTAAATATTTACACTGCCGCACGATATAGTTTTTTAACTGTATTTTTTGCACAAATTGTTTAAGCATGGGTCTACATAGATTTCGCAAGGAGGATCGATGATATTAAATAAAAAATGTATTGTTATAACCGTAACGGCTTGCCTATAAGCTGAATGGCGCCTTTACGGTTATAACAATACATTTTTTATTTAATATCATCGACCCTCCTTGCGAAATCTATGTGTAGACCCATGGTTAAACAATTTGTGCAAAAAATACAGTTTATATACAAAAGTGCTCTTTTAGTTCCACCCTTACTTCTTAAGAAGTCCCATAAGCCAACTTAATGGCTTGTGCGGGTTAGGGGTAGGAACGGACCGCGGGCTTAAAGTCCCCTCCGAAGGACTAATACACAATAAAAAAACTATATCGTGCGGCAGTGTAAATATTTAAAATACATCATTGACTACTCAAACATAATTTTACATTTTAAATTATCATTTTTTATTCGTTTACTCGCATCTACTAGGTATAAACGCATACGGCAGTGTAGTAGCTATTCGATGGCTAGACCGTGCGGCATTCAAATATGAAAAACTTCCCTTCTACATGTCGGGCCCACTCTAAATTTTTTTTTTATTCAAAGGTAACATAATAAACTTGGATTTTATGCTATTTTAAAAAAAATAAAAAAATACACATTGTTTCAAAAAATGCAAAATTTTGCAAAATTTAAAAAAAAATTGCAATTTTTATTTTTTTGCAAAAACGGTATAGCTCATTGAAAAGTACGGAAAAAATCATTTAAGGTGGTTAAATTGAAATATTTAATAAAGAGATGAACAGAAGTTATGAATTTTTAAATAAAAAGCGATTTCACCAAAAAGTAAAAAATCGATAAATTTCAATAATCCATAACTCTTGAATGAACAATCCTAGAACAAAAAAATTTTATGCTATGATTCTTCGTTATAAGAACAACAAATAAGTAAAGTTTAAACAAAATCGGTGACAACAATTTTTTCACCTGGTACACTTGGCAAATTTTGCCCCATATATTTTTATTGATTAAATATTAGATATTTTAATCAACTTCCGAATAAATAAATAAAAAAAGACTAGTTTTACGTTTGGAATAGTGTGTGTAACTTGTAATAACGGTGTTTTATTATTAAGAAAGTTCAAATATGTCCAGAAGAACAAATTTAAAGTTAAGCTTCACCGTATTTGTGACCATTGGGGTTAAAAACTAAATAGAAAGAAACAATGTTAAAGACTCTTTGTCCTTTGTTTAGAGATTAAAGAAATTTTTTTTTAACTTATAGTCGATTTACTACATTTTACTCAATCATATTAAAAACATTTAAAAAATACAGTAACTAGCAATTAATTTTTAACGAGGAATTTGAAAAAATTAAAAAATTATCAAAAAAATAAGTAATTTGTTTACATGTTAGTATATTTTGTTAATTTATTTATATAAGTAATTATGCAAAAGCTGGCCATATCAATTGAGATCAGTGGCGGCCCGTCAGGGGAGGCAGGTGAGGCAGTGCCTCATCATAGAGAATTAAAAAATTAAGTATAATTTAAATATTTTACTTTTTATAATATACTATAAATTTTTAATATTTAGATTACATGAATTGTGAAATAGTCAATAAAATTGATTGATTTTATACGTGGAATACCCAGCAACATTTAAATTATTTGAATTTGAAACGACCGCAATTTAAACTAATATTTATAGCTAGATGATTGGCTCAGAAGCATGCCTGAACTAATTTAGACTCACGATTGGCGTTAGCCTTGTTGTCTCGTTCTATTACAATACGATATCATAGTTGCCTCCTTCTCTCGTATTAGCATACGCAAGGCAGGCACACCTACATCCAAGGAAATAAGCAGGTGTTGTGGCAACACTGTTGCGGAATTTTAGATAAATTATACTTCACACGTTTTTCAAAATTCAATAATAAATGGTATTATTTTTCTTATAATAAATCGATTTAGCCATCACAGTAACCAATAAAATAAATACAGATTTAGGTTTGTTTTGGTTATAAAATTCTGAACTGTTTAAAGAACAAATCTGTGGTTATTTACGCAATATTTTGTTTATTCTTTTTCTATGAGTTTGTCTATTTTATGATTCTTTTGTAAGTGGTTTATTCTGTGGGTTTAGTTAATTGAACTTGGTGATTTATGTGAATTTAGTCATTATGGATATTATGGTGAGAAATTGTACCGATATTGTTGACCTTCACGTGGTTCTTGCTGAACAATGAAATATTAATTAGAAAAAAATTAAGTTTATTTAAAATAAACGTCATTTTTACAATAAAATATATTTCATTGACAAAGTAAAGGATTCCTTCCCCACCACAGTCTAAGTTTTTTAATTAGTTTTAAGTATAGGTTGTGAACTGCGACGTCAGTTTTTTTAAGTTGGGTTTAAAAAAATTTCTTCGCCTTTAAATGAGGGCGAAACCCTGCCTCTGCCTCACCAAAATGAAATGTCACGGGTCGCCACTGATTGAGATGGCCAGCTTTTGCATAATTCCTTACTCAAGGTGTCCCTAAACTTATCGGCATAAATTTAGGAAAAGATTGAGCAAGTCAAAATAAGACGAAAACCCAAATAAATATTTTTCCTAATTACTTATGTTTCCAAGATACAGGGTGATAAAGTGTTACTTATCATATCAGTTTTTTTAATATAACCTCTACTATGGTAGTCTTGGAAAGGTGATATTTTGCGATCAGTCACTTACTACCAAAACACATATTCACACATAATTATAATTGTTTGAATGAACAGTGTCGTAGAAACGGGGGTTGCTTTAAGCTTATTGTCCCATACAAACTTTGAGGTTAAGTTTTTATAACATTTGATGCAATTTTTAGATTACACAGTTCGGCTACCATTAAAAAGGTGTACCTCGCAAACTTCGATAAAATAAACCGTTTCCGAGATATTCGAGATTAAAATAATTGTTATATCGCATTATTTAAAAGGATTAAAAGGTAGGTATATGATAACAAATTTTATTTTTTAATTGAAAAAACTAAAAAGGGCATTCCATGAGCCTCGGGACTTTTTGCCCTGACCGTCACATTAAAAAAATTGTAGTTTTTTCAATTAAAAAATGTTATCATATACCTTTTAGTCCTTTAATGCGATATAACAATTATTGTAATCTCTAATATCTCGGAAAGGGTTTATTTTATCAAAGTTTGTGAGGTACACCTTTTTAATAGTAGCCGAACTGAGTAATCGAATAATTGGATCAAATGGTATAAAAACCTAACCTTAAAGTTTGTATGGGACAATAAGCTTAAGCAACCTCTGTTTCTACGACACTGTGTTCACTTGAACAATTGTAATTATGTTTGAATATGTGTTTTGGTAGTAAGTGACTGTTCGCAAAATATCACCTTTCCAAGTCTACCATTGTGGAAGTTATATTAAAAAAACTGATATGATAAGCAACACTTTATCACACTGTATCTTTTGAACAAACGTAATTAGGAAAAATATTTATTTAGATTTTCGTCTTATTTTGACTTGCTTTATCTGCTCCTAAATTTATGCCACTAAGTTATAAATTAACAAAATATAGTAACATGTAAACAAATTACTTATTTTTTTGATAATTTTTTAATTTTTTCAAATTCCTCGTTAAAAATTATGTAGGAATTGATCATTAAATATTTTAAATATTTTGTTGCAAAGAAAGGCTATGCAATTTTACAAAATACGCTGTCCTGAAAAGTTACAAAATCATAGTTACCTACTATATAGGTTTTGCCAAAGTACGCCAGATTTGGCCTGACGGCCTCGTGGGCAACTTAAACACTCGCATAAAAAAGTCGCTTTTCACAACAATGTTTTACAAATAACTATTGGGGTATTTTTGATAAAAAAAATGTTTGACCAACAATATTTTTTTTATTTTAGAAACCACGGACAACAGCGGACCATCCGTGATAATCCTGAGCTATCCGAAGTACGCCCGTTACCGCGCCATGATGAAGAGACTGGAGTCCGTCGAGGACGACTACCTGAAGATGAAGCTGGTGGTGGCTCTGGGAGGGTTCTCGGCCATCTCGCGCGACACGCGCGTGCTGTTCTGCCGCGACACCTTCGACTACCCGGAGCTGGAGGGCCACGAGCTGCTCTGCAACCATTTGGCGCCCAAGATGAAGGGCCGGCCGCGCGGCAAGCGAAAAAAACGCAGCGTGTCTCCTGGCTCGGAGAGCAACGAGTCAGAGTCTTCGGTTTCGCATATTTATATTAAGGTAATTTACCGGATTTTGAACCCCCACAATATTTGACAAAGGGCATGCTCTGTAATTTTACAGTTCGTATGTAAAATATATTCTACGTAAAATATCGTAACCATTACTGTAATATTACAACTCACTTACTGTGATTTTACTTTTATGTAAAATTACCATACTAAATTGGTAAATTTAAAATTTTAATTTAGAACCTCAAAACTGGACGTAGCAATTGAGGAGCATCCGTGCAAAACCGGCTAAATCCATTTTATTCAGTTTTTGGATTTTTTTGTGATTTCGCATCTTTGTGTTAATTTCTATCGACAACCAAGAGAATTCTGTTTAAATCCGACTATGTCCATGTTAAAATCACATTTAAAAGGTAGCTTTAGAAGCAAAACCGGCCAAATCCACGTTTTTATAGCAAACCCGGCTATATCCAATAAATAATAATGATGATGAGCATGTGGCTTGGATATGTCGATACTACTACTAAAATTTGTTCTGTTTTTTCATGTTTGCACCAAATTTATTTTGTTAATATTTTTGAATAATAAAGGTTTTTTTTCACATTTTATTCGGTTTTTAAGCAAAACCGGCTATATCCAAAACATTTTTTGAAATTTTGGCATTAATATAAAGTTTTTGAAAACGAAAATATGTCTTATAAATCAAGTAACACAAAGCCCACAAAACTCAAGTTTGCTTTTTCTTTTAAATTTAAAATTACTGGCAGTACAATGCTCCACACCTCAAAGTCCCACCACGTGACCACGTACGGAACGCAGTCTTTTGAAAATTTGGCATTTAAGGCTTTTCAGGTTATGTATCTGTGAAAGTATAGTCAATGAAAGAAATAATATTTATAGTGTTACCGCTTATTTTTAAGCGTTAAAAGTTAATAAATCTTTATAGTATCACAATAACAATGGTTGGTTTAAGAATTTAGGAATATAAATACTGCATTTAATGAAATTCCAAAGTGTAAGGTGCAATATAAGTGATATTTTTGTGCATTGGGTCTACATTTCTCCATAAAATAGTTTTAACTAAACAGCATTTATTAAAAAAATCTAACTTCTCTATTATGAAATAAGAATATCTGTATCAAAGGTAGGTTAATGTATTAGAACAAAAATATCACCTAATTTTGTATTTTAAGGTTAGAAAAATCTATTTTGACCAAAATAAATAAGTGGATTACTTGGAAGAGTGTGTTAATATGGTCATAAATAAATATAGGTATACTAAATAATTGTTGCATATGGTTCAAATTAAATTGAAGCTTTTATACTTCTAACAACAAAACTTGTGCATACCTCTCGGCATACTTACTTTAAGTTAGATTATAAGAAAACAAACAATTTTTAGAGAAACTTGCAATGTGAAAATATTTAATACTCCCATGACATGTGATTTATTAAAATTTTTAAAGTTATAATGATTTTTCGATGTAGATCAAATTCATTTGAAGCTTTTTAACTATTTGTATTGACAAAACTTTATGTAGGTACACTTTAAGCTGAATAAGAAAAACTACCACATTTTTAAACACCACATTATACAGTCTTTTAAATAATCCAAAATACTTATTTATTTTGATCAACATAAATTTTTCCAAATAAATTCTTAAACAATTCATTGTTATTGTATAAAACTTTTGTATACCTGAAAAGCCTTAAATGCCAAATTTTCAAAAGACTGCGTTCCTTACGTGGTCACGTGGTGGGACTTGACCGACACATCTCCGATTTGGCTGAAACTTTTTTTACGGATTCTATATCGAAAAATAAGATATACGTGTCCGAGGAATTTTTTTTCTCTCGCATATTTTCGATAATACAAGCTATCGAAAATTTGAGAATAACCAGTTTTTTGGCTTGGAGACCCATTTTCAAAAATTTATAACTCCGGTTCTATTTGAGCTACAAACATCTTTTTTTTTTTCATTTTAAAACTAAAGAACTGAAAAATTATTAACAAATTCATATTGTTATTAACAATTTCATTGTTTAAATCAATTTTTAACAATGGCCCCCACCTCGTATTAAGTTTTTAGTATTTTTATCGTATTCTCCGTCAAATTTTACATAAAAAACATGTTTTCAAAATATGGTACCTTTATTATTACTATTGTTAAAACATTAATTCATATTGCGCGACACATAAAAAACGGTTTTTTGTTAATAAAAAGAAAACTATAGCTCGGATCAAAAAAAGTTATATATAAAAGTTGTAGATAATAAATAGATAAGTTAAAAAACAGGTAAAACAGTAAAAACTGACAAAACCAAAAAATATATTGCGAAAATTCAGGGAATATTTTTAATAGGTATATGGGTGGTTTTGGGGATCCATATCTTAATTAAAATAGTATATGCAGTACCTATCTAACATTGCAATTTTTTTTTAGCAAAAAATCACAACTGAAGGTGGTAGAAACGGCCTAAGATGCGATAGTACCACATCGAGACGTTGCACTCGTTCGGCAGAAAGCAGACAATTTATTAAGAAACTTAATTCGTTCATGAAATCCAATCAAACTCCGATGGGTCGTATACCATGTGTGGGAGCAAAAGAACGTAAGTCATTAAAATAATAAAATAATTGTCCAGTATAGGTCACGGTTTCTTCTAAATTTAAACGACTGCTTTTAGTTATTGTTAGTCTTTGAGAAAGATTTAAAATTTAAATTTATTGGGATAAAAAGTTCAATTGAATATTCAGCTTTTAGTTTGGTTATGCAGATTTAAGTTTAGCTTGTTAAAAAACTTGTAAATATTTTATCAAAAACATTAATGAAACTACCATTTTAGAGTAACAAATTTTAGCAAAATAATAAGTATTTTTACTTGAGAATCATCTAAAATAAAAATAATTTTGAAAAAAAAAATATCGTTTAAAAGTGAAAAAACAAAATTTATTTAGGATTAAACGATTTCTTTTTTTCAAAATTGATTTTAAAATGTAAAAAATAATTTCGATGATACTAAAAAAATAAAATATCGTTTAAAAGTGAAAAAACAAAATTTATTTAGGATTAAACGATTTCTTTTTTTCAAAATTGATTTTAAAATGTAAAAAATAATTTCGATGATACTAAAAAAATAAAATATACCTACTGTAAGTTAACAATTATTGTTTTAGTGGATTTGCACGAGTTCTATCTAAAAGTACAAAAACTTGGAGGGTATGATGCAGTAACATCAAGTCGTCTGTGGAAATCCCTTTTCGAAGAAATTAGTGGAAATATGAACAGTACAAGCGCAGCAACAATAATACGTAGACACTACGAGAGGTGTGTATACATTTATTAATTCAATTTTTTCTTTACCTTATTAACAGCTATATTTGAAAAGTATCATGGATTTAAGTTAATTAGGTAAAACCTTAAAAACCCACATATAAAATCCTGACATGTACATGTGTCACACATCTCAACAATATAAATAATACAACAAAATCAATATAAATACAATCATATTATCATATTACTAAGATTATTTACCTATATGAATAGAAAAGCAAATAAAAATTGATATATTTATCAATGTACAGCAACAAACAACAATAATAAATGGCAGTGGTAAATAAAATATATAAATAACAAATGGTACAGTAGTGGACAACAGTAATATAATCAGGTATAATAAAGTAATAAAAACTTAAAATAAAATATAGCAAAGTATCTTGATTAACAATAATAATAAAATAAGACAATGAAACAACAACTTCATATCAATAACCCTAGCTTACCATTCTTTGTCAATCTAAATTGGATAATTGGTAATTATTGGCAATTGGGTGCAACTGTCACAGCAAAGCTGTATCCACCGACCTTACCAGAAACCGTCAACAAAGTTCCCTAACTAAATAACTCATTCGATATACAGAACTTGAAACAAAGTGTCAACATATTAAATAATGAATATCAATTTATAAAATAAGATAAACTTTACAAAATAAAGTTTATAACGTTATTTGTGAGTCAATCCAAATGAAAAGTCCAAAAATGAATTTTAGGTATCTTATATGAAAAACCGTTGCCGTTTTAATTTTTAGTTGCTTTATTTTTAATCGGCACTATTTAAAAACCTGAAATCGTGTCATTTTCTTACTCTTTTATAAGAGGCTAAAACTTTTTTTCTGTGGCAATTAGAGATGTAAAAAAACGGTTTTTTTTCAGATGTGAAAAAAAACATGAAAAAAAACCTAGAAAAAAAACGGTTTTTTTTGTTTTTTTTCAAAATGAAATTTTGAGTAAAATATATATTAATAATAAAGTAAAATGTAGAATATATTAAATTTTTCATTATTGAAAATTTTGACCGAAAATAAAAAATCTGATTTTTTATTATTTGGTACTTTCCACATTAGAAACCAGTAGCAATGTAAAACTTCTACACCAATACAAAAAATTAAAGGATAAAAAAAATTGTTTTGCGATTCTTCGGATAGCTGTATCTTTGTTAAAAATGGTCGTATTGGAGCCCTAAAAAAAAGCAATTTTTGAGATTTTTAGATGAAAAATGTGCAATGCTCAATCCTAACAAATACTGTAATAAAATTTTTTTTTGGCTTTGTGGTCCACGGAATGTTTTGACTTAACCACCAATGAATAAATGTTCTACAAGAATTTGCTATTGTTTTTAAAAAAAAAATAATTCCATACCCCATGAATTTGAAAAATCATGAAAAAAGTGCTTTTGGTAGCTTTTTGAAAAATCAAGCGCTGAATCAAAATTATTATATGAAGTTACTTTTTTAGGACCAAATCAAAATAAGCGCGGCCCTTATTGGTCAATTCGGTGGTGGTGGCGCGTGCATAGCGCGAGACTGTATTTACATTTACCAATGTCATTTAGTGGCTAATTTTAGTCCATGAAACCTAAAAAATTAGGCAAATGGGACTAACCTTGAAAAAAAACCTAAAATGTGAAAAAAAACCATTTGAAAAAAAACAATGAAAAAAAACCTGAAAAAAAACAAAAAAAACGGACCGTTTTTTTTCAAGTCGCATCTCTAGTGGCAATTATTGAAATGATTGTAATTTTATTTTACTGCCCAGTAAGTATGTTTTAAATTTTAATTATTATTATCTAATTAGTTCATCTCATAAAAGAATGGTAAACCACTAAAAATTTGTAATAATTTGCCAATTTTTGTGATTTTTGTCTGGCTCCTGTGCCTAGGGTTGCCAACTTTCGGTTATTGATATAAAGGACAAATTGGGATTTTTTTTTGGGTGCCACGTCTACTTTACAACTTTTCCGATTTTTTTTTTCGGACGAGGTGGTGTAGAAGGGGCACCGCTTGACGTAGATGTCTGTGACTTTGGGACATCATCACTTGCATCGACGACTTTATCACCATTCATGATGATTTGATTGATGATGTTTAGCAAAAACCTGCAAATAAATAATGATTTGGCATTTAGGCAACTACTTGTTTAAAATAGAAAATGCTACTTTTTATGAATCTGTTTAACCCGTAACCGGTACTGTGGTGTCTGGGAGACACTCATCAACGAACAAAGCGCTGTCACACCCTCACCTTTTGTTTTAAAAATCTGTCGCTTCCAATACTTTTAAGTTAGGCAGTTATCAATATGCTCTTAGACTTTGAACAGGTTGGATTGTCAAACGGACAAATTATTACGAGTCAAAGTGTTGAGGTGTCTATTAGACCACTGCGTACCGTTTACGTTATTTTTATAAAACAATTAATTCGTTACGGATTCGCAACAAGGGCCTTCTACGTGTCCAAAGTGATAAGAAGGGCTTCAAGGAAACTGTACTATAGTGGTTTTATGAAATCGACAGCGATATAAGTGCATAAGCATCTATAGATGACTGTATACAGTACTATAGTATCATTGAGTAACTCAATGGTAGTATACTACATAACCATTATAGTGATTATGTCGTTGAAGATAATCACAGCAGCGATTCAGGACTTGTCTGTAAAGATTCTATAGAAAATAATTTTATAGGGTCATATAGTAAAGAATTTGAAATTGTTAAAGAATTTGAAAAAAAAAGAAAAAAGTTACTATGGAAAAAATATTTGTAAAAATTAGCTATAGTTTGAAGCAGTTATTTTTGCTGTTAAAAAAAGATATATTAGAATTTTTTTGTTTATGTTATTTTTTAAGGTAGGTATATTCTTCGAAATAAAGATCGTTTTATTTTGTTTGGTTTAATATTTTTTATAGTTTAATCACAAAGTTTGCACTACTGCACTTTTTGTACATGTTTTGATTAAAACCTATTTGTTTAAGTTTTTCTTTTATTTAGGTATTATTTTTGGTGATATTCTAACTTTATATATAGTCCCTAGTATCCCCAAAACCTTAGATAAAAAAAATAATATAAATAACAATTTTAAAAGGTAGGTGTCTCTCAGACCCCTTAGTACCGTTTATGTCCTGAAAATCGTACCGTACCGGTTACGGGTTAATTTAATTTTCCAATTAAAGTTTAAAAATATATTGCGACAAAAAACTGAAATCTAATAATATAATTTTAATTTTGTATTTTCCACTTACCGTTTCCTGTTAAAAAGTTGTAAAATAAGGTTAAAGAAACACCTTACACACAGGGACTAGTCGACTACACACAAGAGCTCAACACAACGAGGAACAAAATAAAAATACAAGGTATGCTGGATAAATTGGAGCTCAGGGATTTACCAAAATATTTCAAATGTTGCCAATTCTACATTTTATGGTATTTGTATGGGCCTTTTTTAAAATAATTGTGGATTTATCTGTATTTCCGGATTTTAAAGGACATTTGCCGTCCTTTGACACCTTTCAAAAGGACAAAGGACAGTATTTAGAAATAAAGGACTGTCCTTTGAAATAAAGGACGGTTGGCAACCCTACCTGTGCCTAATCTGCTAAATCTAGAAAGTACAATAGAAAACGTAACTATTATTTTAAGTTTCTAGACTCATTTTCTTTATTAAAAAAATTATTGAAACTTGATAATTTTCAAAATTAGCCAATTTTGCCCTCAGAAATCATTATGTTGAAGAAAAAATAAAAATCTGAAACTTTCAGGAAATGTAGTCCCCACCTTCATCTTTTCAGTCTAGTTAGTCTTGTTTTGTTATTTTATCCATGTAAAAGATATAATAATTTTTTTAATGCAGTTAAGTAGCGATATTTTTAGTTTTATTTATAATTTAAAGTTTAGATGGCTTTGACTTAGTCAATGCATGTTTGGTAGAGAAATGTCAGAACTGTCAAAAATATTTTTAAATATTATTTGTGCGTATTTAAATTGTGATTTCAAAAAGTTTGCAAGTGTAATAAATGACGGAGTGTTCGAGATTCATAAATTTAATTGCAATTAAAAATGCAAGAACCTATCATAATTTTGTACCTCTTTCTCATAGAAAATATTCAAGTTCTGAGAAGTTTTAAATTGTTAAAAATAAGCAAAAACCAAAAAATATTCTAAATAAACCAATTTATTATAACGTGTTTTATTTTAACCAGTTACCTAAAAACTAAAATTTAAATACAGATTGTGTAAATTTTTTTCCAACACTAACATTTAAAATACATACATATAACTTTTAACTATTCAGTGCCTTACTAAAGGGATCAAAATAATAGAACAAGACTAACTTGGTTTAAATTGTGAAAGAAACCGACAAAAAAATGCTTAACGCATTTTTACACGTTTAAATTAACTCTTTATTAATTTCACTTATTATACTTTACAATATAAACCATAAGGATCTTGAATATATTTTTTACATTCTTCTTCTTTAAACACCAATTAGCCAATTAAATACTTCATTAAAATGTATATATGATTATAAATTACATAAAATATAACATAACTACCAAATATATCAAAACTGTCAAAAAATTTCATAATTATTATTTGTGTATTCCTTTGGTGATTTTAAAAAGTTTTGTATATAACATAATATGACATATTATGTTATATACAAAATTTACCAAAGAAATACGCACAAATAATATTTATGAAATATTTTTGACAGTTCTGACACTTCTCCACCAAACATAAAAGCCATCTAAATTTTAAATTATAAATAAAACTAACAATATCGCTACTAAACGGGCATTAAAAAAATTAATATATCTTTTAAAGGAATAAAAATAACAAAACAAGACTAACTGGACTGAAAAGATGAATGTGGGGACTACATTTCCTGAAAGTTTCAGATTTTTATTTTTTCCTCAACATAATGATTTCTGAGGGCAAAATTGACTAATTTTAAGAATTATCAAGTTTCAATATTTTTTTTTAATAAAGAAAATGATAGTTCAGAAACTTAAAATAATAGTTACGTTTACTATTGTATAAGTACTTGATACCTAAAAAAAGCAACTTTCTAGATTTAGCAGAATAGGCACAGAAGCCAGACAAAAATCACAAAAATTGGCAAATTATTATGAATCTTTAGGGATAATAATAATTTATATCGAAAAGACACTTACTGAACAGTAAAACAAAATTAAAATCATTTCAATATTTGTCACAGAAAAAAAGTTCTGGCCCACTATAAGAGAGTAAGAAATTGAGATGATTTCAGATTTTTAAAGGGTGCCGATTAAAAGTAAAAAATCCAAAAACTAAAACGGCAACGGAATTTCAATTTGATACCTAAAAGATCATCCTCAATTTTTTTTATTAAAATAAAAAATCAAGCAACGCACCCTATTTGGTGTTTTTATTTGGAATGACTCATGTAGTAAATAGATACATTAAATTACAATATAATATGTCAAAGTAAAATATAAATACCTATAATAATTATAAACCATAGAGTAACTGTGTTTTGTTACTCTAAGTTATAAACACATATTCACCATAACGTTACTTTTACTAAATATTATTACACTAATCAATCTGTAAGGTATAATAATAAAACAGTTACATGATTTTTCGTTTCGGGTGTTGCAGTGGCAAAGTAACAAGAAAACACACTGATAATAATTATTATCAATTTTTTCGAGACTGTGACGCAATTCACCAATAGATTGGCAGTACAGACTGAACTTAAAAATTACGCGTTTCTTCTACAGGGTTCATACTATTGAATTCGTATAAAATTCCCTGACTTTTCCAGAACTTTCTCAAGCTTTTTCCATAGACTGTGGAAGGTGTCAAAAATTGATATTGATATTCAGGCACATAGGAAAAAAATATAAAATAGAATTTATACTTTGCAGCTTTAATAACAGACCATAAAAACAAAAATAAATACATATAGCATAATTCATATTATATGTGACCTGGACTATAGAAAGGTACTTATGGTCGGAAGAATCAATTTTTGTTTTTTGATAGAAATTTTTTAAAAATATAACGTATTTTTTAATGGAACATACCGCAGACTCCTAAGTTTGAAACTTTTGCTGGAAATCATCCTTAATTAACTTTAAAGTTCAACATGAATTATAAAAATCTCGAAAAAAGTTATAAATATATCAAGAATTGCTTTTTTTGATCTTTTAATATCGCCAATATCCTGAAGAGACATATCGAAAGACGAATCTGGTACAACCTCATCTTCTATGTCACTAACACCTGCACCTCCACCTTGATCTTCGTAATCTTCATCACAATCCGCAAAACATTGTTTCTCCACTGCTTTAAATTCTTTTTCTAAATCCATTATGCACTTTCACAAACTAAAACAACTTTAAATTAGCTGCATAACAACGAAAAACCACGATCTCGAAAATATAATGATAAGAAAAGCAGCACGTATTATTCCAACTTTTTCAACGTTCACAAAATTAGCTATTTAGGGGAAATCACTTGAATAAGGTACAAAAATATTTATTGTAAAAGCACCACTGTATAATGGAAGTCTAAAGAGAGGTGGAGAGCCAAGGGTAAGACGAAAAAAGAAAAGGTAGAAGCGCAAATACAAACGCGACGCACGGACAGTACTTGTTAACTTTAACAGCTGTTTTCTCGAAAACTTGATTTCTAACCATAGGTAGCTTTCCGTAGTCCAGGTCACATATGTAATTCAAAAACAAAACTTTTTTAGATCTTTTAAAATTTAACTTAAAAGTTATAACAAAACATAAGCATATTTCTCGTAAATAAAAACAAAACAAGATACAAAAATAAGTCAAATAACTATTTTAAACTTTTTCTCTCAATATTTGTAGACATCTATTGATACTGTCCACTTCATGGTGGGTTCCTTCAGTTAATTTTTTTTTGTTTTCCAGAACCTTGATTTCCGTTATTAAACAATTTTTCACAATTACGAGAAAGACTTTTGTCAAAGACAAACTGACAGTTACACGATTAGGTAGTTACATTAAAATTGCCCAAGCATTTCATTTATATTAAATCATAATGTAGATTGTGTAGGTATTAAGTAAATATTATTTTCTTTTATATTTTTATTATTATTTTAAGTATTAGTAATATTTACAGATAATTCCCTGACTTTTCCCTGACTTTTCGTTTTTTCTTTAAATTCCCTGACTTTTCCATGACTTTTTAGACTCATTTTATATTCCCTGACTTTTCCCGGTTTTCCCGGTCGCTACGAACCCTGTTCTAGTTTTTTTTGTCGCATATTATAATTTGGAATGTTTTCTTTCAAAATTCATCAGATTGAATGCAAAAAGAACATATTTATTTTTTCACCCTCAGTAACGTTTGTTATGTAATGACCCTGTTTGTTCCTTAGGTTCCTTTTGGCATTCGAACGCAACGTCAAAGGCGAAGAGTACAAACCGCTACCGGTTTACGAAAGAAGAAGACTGAAAAGCAAAGCTGGCAGCAGCAGCTTGAGCGACAACGAAACCAGCGAGAGTCCCTCCAACAGCGGATCGAGCACCCCCGTCCCCTCCTGCAGCGGAATCGCCGTAGCAGGCACCTCCAAGGACTACAAAGTAAGTTCTAAGACGCTAAAGAAGTATCGCTAGTAGCCCCACCACTCGGCTGTTATCATCGTAACAAAAGTACAACTTTTAATAATCAGAGGTCAAACGCTTAGGTTACAAACGAGTGTTTTTAAAAATAAAGCCAGAAAATATTAAAAAATATAGAAAAAAAACCGTGGCTCGATTTGTTGTGTTGTCGGGTGTTGTGAAAATCCTGGGTTGAGTTTTTACCGGTTTTCCAATAAACAGTGTTAATCCGAATGAAGAAATAAATTTCATACAGTCTCTGTAAATATAAATTGTACCTATTAGATACAATCAATACACATTTTAGTAGCGATTTTACGTGAAAAGTGTAAACATTTCAATTCAGTAAAAATCGTCAAACGAATAAGTCGCCTAAATTTAAACAGCATTTAGCATTATTAAAAGCGTTGATTAAGAATTCTTTAAAGTCTCCACTCAACGGTAAAATACCATTATATTGTGTATTATATATAATATTATGTTGCCAGGAATTCGTAGGTATATTTTGTTGTTTTAAATGCAGTTTTCTGCGTTTTTTAGAGAACTGAAACATAAAAATGATTGATTTTAAGGTTATGTTTGTGCAAAAATTATTTTTTAAAGTTATCATTAGTTAATTCTGCACCAACAAATGTACTTACCGAATTGGATGAAATTGGATGAAAATGCAACGATTTAGTTCTTGAATTTTATTTACAATTAAAAACACAATAATTCACCATGATCCCTTAGATAAAATACACACACTAACGTAACTATGTAAGCATTTAAGCGTTGAATTTCTTCATCCATGATATAAGGAATAATCAATCGAAATCGAGTACTAAAAAAGTTTTTTAATTTTTTCCTTGCAACGTAAAACACAAATAACGTGCGCGATTTAGCTTTGCAATTGAACAAAATTTGTCGAGTAAGACTTCTGCCTTCCTCTCTTTTGTGAAAAAACTACCTATTTATTTAAAAATGATGTATAACACTGTGCAACATTTTCGGAAAACAATCAAAATCATAAATTATAGCGTTAAATAATTAGTACATAAAAGATAATTATTGGTTTTGTATATTGTTTTATAAAGTAATAACAATCAAATAAAAAAAAATTAAATAAAAAATGAATGAGAAAGATAAAATGCAATTTTTTTTCTGGATTTAATGTTGTAGTGCAATTTCTTAGTTCTTTTGCTTCTACCATAATAATAATTATGGTAATTATTATTATTATTATATTAATTATTAAAAACATATTCTTAACAAAAAGAATAAATCAACATAAAAGATATAACAAATTTTATTTATAATTTTATGCCAAAATTTCCATTGCCATAGACCAACAAAAATCTGCCAACATCGAATCAAACCTCTTTCCTCTATAACGATTTTCCATTTCCATTATTGTTTGACGCTCTTCTGATTCGGTGGACAGCTGATTTTCGAACAGGTCAAGATGTGCATGGAGCAAATGTACTTTTAGTGACATGTTTACACCCATTTTTAATTTTTGTTTTATTTTTTATTATTTCTTTTTAATTTATTGTTATGACAACAATTTCCTACAAGTTAATTGGTTTAAATTAATAAATAACGTTTTTTCGGGTTCCAAAATTAATAGAACTCAAAATCGATATTTAAAAAAACCTGAATCAATCTAAACATTCTGTAAACGAAAACTACTTTCAGAACCCCATCATTTTTTTTGCTGTTGCACTGTGTAATCGGTGCTTTAAATTTGTTGAAAATTCTTAAATTCACGAAATGCATTCGAAGTCCACCAGATGGCGCGCGCGTTGCGAAAACCCGATAGTTCTTTAGCGTATACTTCATAGGGTTGCAACTTTTCATGAAAAGTTGAAATTTTTGAAAAGTTGGGTTTTATTTTTCGGAAAATTTCGGAAAAGTTGGAAAAGATGGAAAAGTTGAGTTTTTTGTAATGTAAACGTATAAAACATAAATAATGCTTGTCAATGTATTAAAATAATTTATTTCTTATGTATTTATACATACCTAACGAGTTGTTTTATAACAAAATAACAAAAAAAAATAACAAATAAAATAAAATGAACAGATAACATAATCACAACAAAAATAAACTAGGTTCGAGTTAAAAAAATCATATTTTTTAAGTAAAAAAAAATAGAAATTTATACACACCATAAAAAAAATATGAAGCAAAAATTATTAAATTTATTGTTGTTAAAAATTATGGAAATTTGCAAGTAAAAATTTAAAAAGAAAAAGAAAAGAAAACTTTCTTCTTTTCCACTTTTATATTTTTACTTGCTCCCAATTTCGGGCCATACATGGCACATGTGCCATTGCAGGGTAAACCAATCAACGAATAGCATTTAGAAGCTGTTGCCACTTTTACCGATTTTTCGGTAGATCTATCGATTTGGCAGTCCATTTACCAAAAATACCTTATTTTCTACCGATTTTCACTTCGGTACATTTTAGTTTATTTTTTTAATAATGAGTTTTATTCCTTGTTTTTTTTTCAATTTTAAATATTTATCTTATTATGGCGATATAATTCAAAATACGTGACCCCAATATTCTTATTAGATAAATTTTAGCAACTAAAATATAATAAAACAATCTTTATACAGGGTGTTATGTAATTAATGTTATATATTAAAATGGGTTGTTCCTTAAGGTCCATAAAGAAGCACCTGAAACTTTTTTTTTCTAAATTCCAAAGTCTAAAAATAATTTATAATAACCTTTATCCTACCAAAAAGTACGCCACTGATCGACTAGGAACTTTAGGTTAATCTGGTGGATTTATTATGTTATGGTTGGTAACAGTGTTTCCAAAATCTCTTAAAAAAGTTGACAAACATTGTTTAAATTTAGCTTAATTACAAAAATGACAAAATTAACAATGCAAATTGTCAATTTGGCGTTTTTTATTAATTGTTGGTTATTTCATTTTTGTACTGAAGGTAAATTCAAACAAAATCTGCCAACTTTTATGACAGAATCTAGTGCATTTCTTTTAAATTTTAGGTTATGTTTTCAAATTGTAAATATCTTAACTAAGGGAAGTGCTTTTGGATTTATTTACACAAATTAAATGTTTAAAGTTTAACCTGTGAACTGGTTCCAATTTCATCTGAGTAAAGAGAGAAAAAAACTGATGAAAAAATTAATTTTGTGGTTATGGATTTCAAATTTCAAAGGTACTAAATTTTCTAATCATTGCTTAAGCTAATAGCTGGATCAGTAAATAAATACAGAAGGGTATTAGAGCTTTAAGGGCATAAAACTTTTGTATTTATTGAGTTTTTATTTATTTTTTGCAAGAAAAATTTTTAGTAACAATTTTTTACATCTGGCAACGCATAGCTACTTTGTTGGTTGGTATCTATGTACTCACAAAATACAGGTGTGCAGAGATAAACAAGTGTGTAACCAGTGGCGTATCACAAAAAATATAAAAAACTTCTAATGCATATTTTTTCTTTATCTTTGGAAAAATGTTTTTTTAAATATTTTTCCTTTATTCCTTATGTCAAAAGGTATTCAGTATTTTAATATATAACATTAATTACATAACACCCTGTATAATAGAAAATGACCATTTTTTATAAAGTTTGACAGAATGTTATTCCAAAAAACAATGATTTTAGCACGTTTTACTAAAAACACTTCAAATCTAGCGATTTATATCGAATTTTGAGCAAATTATCTACCGAAAAAAATTTATGGTAGTGGAAACACTGGTTAGAAGTCAACTCATTGTTAATTGGCCGAACTTTTCCAACTTTTCGACCGAACTTTTCCTTGTTTGCAACACTAACACTTCAATTGAATCGTTTCTTTTAGGACTGCGTGCCGAGCAAACCCGAAGTAAAAACGTCGTCGCTGCGCAGCGTGAGAGTCAAGACGGAAAGGCAGAAAGAGAAGCAGTGCGACAATAACGCGAAACACCAAAACAACAACAACTATAGTTGCGACGCCGAGACCGTAGTTAATCCCGAAGCGGACAAAACCGAAAATCAAATCGAAATCAAAGACGAAGTAGTCAAGTTGGCGGAGGATTCTACCGATAGAGTGGAGTCGCCACCGCAGGTGGCTGAGGAGTGTGACGTAATCAAGGCTGAAGTGGTTAAAGTTGAGGCTGTTATATCGGTGGAACCGGATACTTCGGCTGTGGCGCCGATTGTGCAGAAAATATCGCCGCTTGTAACTCTATCACCGACTGAAGAAAAGGATGAGCCCTTTATCAAAACCGGAGATACCGGCTCAAATGTTGACGTGGATGTCGTTGAAGTTCCGTTCAAGCCTAAAACGCCCGAAATTGTGGACTTAGAATCGGACGCTTTCAAAGCGATGAACTCTAGCATCAACAAAACCTTCGTGCAGGAAGTGAAGAAGCGGAAGCTGGACATACTGAAGGAGGGGGGTTTGGAGGTCACACCGGTGCGTTCCGGTTCTATGATAAGCAAAAGGCCGTCGGTGATTCAACCTACGATTACCACTGTAACAGTCCCAATCAAAAATCTCGCGAATAACGATGGCATGCCGCCTCCGCTGGTGAATATTGTTCCATCGAAGCGGTCAAGTCCGCAAACAACTCAAACGAAATCGGGTCAGAAATCGCCGCTTCCCAGTTCCCCCTCCAAAGCGTTTTCGTTCGGAAATTCTTTACCTCCACGCGTCGTGCAATCCAGATCCATATATTCCTACTCGGAGAAGACTGTGTACGGTAACCCCAAGGACGTGTATGCGCCAAAGTTCCCCGAACTCAGCTCCAGACAGTGCGGCGGCGACTTGCTCGATCTGACGATCACGAGCCCGCAGAAACCGGTCGCTGACGTCGTGCGCGTTCCTCAGATACCGTCTTCCTCGTCTTCGCTGTACAATAGACTTTCAGACAACCGGCCGATGCCTCAACAACACCAGCAACCGAGGACTGCAAGTTTGATCGAAGGCAGACGGTTGGGTTCCAACCTGGAGATCACGCTGGTGGGGCCCAATAGCGCCGTCAAACCGCCGCCACAAAATAAATACCCCGCGCCGGCCGCATCGGTGCAGATAACGCCCAATCACAACAGGCACCACGCGCAGAAAAGAATGCCCAGCGAGATGTACCTCAACAGTAAAGTCGCGAAAACCGATTTAAAAATGAAGCACCCGAAACCGAGCTCGCAAGTATCTCCGAAAGCTGGCGCCGACATCAACATACCGAACCCTTACGTCAACAAAAGCCCCAGTATTAAAGCGGACCCGATCAACAGCTACATGAAAGCCATGCAGACGGCGTCGAAGCCGTACCCGAGCACCCCGGCATCTGCGTTCCCGGGATATCTGTCGCAGATCTACGAGCAATCGAACCAATTCAAGAATTTGTACCAATACGCCATGGATTCGCAGTACGCGAACGCGATGCAAGGTTTGTACGCCGGGTATCCAGTGAACCAGCAGCAGATGGTGATGCCATCGCCGGAACAGTTGAAGTTGTACGCCGATTGGATGTCGACCCAAATGCATTTTTCCTACGCCCAAAATGACGCAAGCCATATTAACAACATGAAGAAACAGTAAACGTCAAATTATTTTGGATTCGGTTACCCAAGTACACAAAGCAGCTCTTTTCCACCCACTGGATCACCTGTTTTGTCCTTGAAATTACTTGAACAATACAGCCGTATAATTCAGTTTTTTCTTTAATAATACAAGTTTTTTACATTACGGAACTCTTTAAAATGCTTTATGTTTACAAAAACAAAATATGTCAGTTTTTAGAGCAAATACCAATTCCTATATCTTCACAATGATTTTTAAAATATTATTTACACCAAAATTCACAATTTTTTGGATGACAATCTAGAGGGTGTTTCTCGAAATATACAACTAAACGTTCTATAGAAAATTACCTTATAAAAAGCAATAAACCAATCCGAGCACGGCAAACTTCACAGCTCACTAGGTGCGACGGAAATACCGTGCTCCGATTGGTTTATTGCTCCTTACAGAATCAATTTTCAATAGAAAGTAAAATCGCCCTCAAGAAATTTTACAAAAATTACCAGTTTTTGACACTCAATAAAATGTCAATAATTTATATGCTCTTGACTTTTACAATCCATTTTTTGTAAAAACGTTTCAAAAATATCAAATAATTTTTTTATATTCACTATTTTGCGTTTGAAGTTATATTAGTTTGATCATTAAATATAAAACGATATTATTTTATCATAAAATTTGTACTTATATTATTTACTTTTTCAAATCATCCAGTATATTACAAAATATAGTGCTTTGCTAACCAGAATTTCAACAACATTGTATATTTTCTCAATTAAAAAATTGACCGGATCTAAAAATAATTTGGTGTTATGTCATCTTTGGTGAAGTGCACATATTTTATATTTCTCCGCGACACCTCGGCTATAATCTGTAAAAATAATGTATTAAAAGTGACATTGTTGAACGACAATATAAACAAAATGTATATTTGTATAAGACCATAGATTATAAAATAATTAAGTGTTGGTAAGTCTAAATAAGGGGCTATGTTAAAATAAATTGAATGGAAAATCCTAGATGTTGAATGTAATGATTGATATATTTTTTGCCAAGCAAAACTTTTTACATTTGATACGTTTTTTGTAATTTTCGTTGCCACAATGCCGTACGGTTAAGTTCTTTAAAAATATGTTGTAAATATTTACGAGGCCAGATAAAAATTAGTGTCTGTGATTTTATTATATAATACCAAATTAAACTTTTGTACATAGAATATATGAGTTTCCTATTTTCTCGACTTAGTCAATTATATAAGTTTTTACAAGCAATGTAAATATTACTTTTATATTACCAATAAGTGTTAGTTTACTATGTTAAGCCATCGCCATTAAAAATAAATATCTAAGGAAATTAATGTTTTGTTTTACTTTTTGCGAACTTTGGTATTTACGCATTTTCTCAAAATTTATTTGTTATTATTTGAATTAAATTTTCTTAATAATTTTTATCGTCGCGAAAACCAATGCGAAGATGAAGCACCCGAAACCGAGCTCGCAAGTATCGCCGAAACCTGGCGCCGACATAAACATACCGAACCCTTACGTCAACAAAAGCCCCAGTATTAAAGCGGACCCGATCAACAGCTACATGAAAGCCATGCAGACGGCTGCGAAGCCGTACCCAAGCACCCCGGCATCGGCGTTCCCGGGATATCTGTCGCAGATCTACGAGCAATCGAACCAGTTCAAGAATTTGTACCAATACGCCATGGATTCGCAGTACGCGAACGCGATGCAAGGTTTGTACGCCGGGTATCCAGTGAACCAGCAGCAGATGGTGATGCCGTCGCCGGAACAGTTGAAGTTGTACGCCGATTGGATGTCGACTCAAATGCATTTTTCCTACGCCCAAAATGACGCAAGCCATATTAACAACATGAAGAAGCAGTAAACGTCAAATTATTTTGGATTCGGTTACCCAAGTACACAAAGCAGCTCTTTTCCACCCACTGGATTACCTGTTTTGTCCATGAAATTACTTGAAAGATACAGCCGTATAATTCAGTTTTTTCTTTAATAATACAAGTTTTTTACGTTACGAAACTCTTTAAAATGCTTTATGTTTACAATAACAAAATATGTCAGTTTTTAGAGCAAATACCAATTCCTATATCTTCACAATGATTTTTAAAATATTATTTACACCAAAATTCACAATTTTTTCGATGACACTCTGGAGGGTGTTTCTCGAAATTTACAACTATACGTTCTATAGAAAATTACCTTATAAAAAGCAATAAACCAATCCGATCACGGCAAACTTCACAGCCCACTAGGTGCGGCGGAAATACCGTACTCCAATTGGTTTATTGCTTCTTACAGAATCAATTTTCAATAGAAAGTAAAATCGCCCTCAAGAAAGTTTACAAAATTTACCAGTTTTTGACACTCAATAAAATGTCAATAATTTATTTGCTCTTGACTTTTACAATCCATTTTTTGTAAAAACGTTTCAGAAATATCAAATAATTTTTTTTATTTTCACTATTTTGCTTTTGAAGTTATATTAGTTTGATCATTAAATATGAAACGGTATTATTTTATCACAAAATTTGTACTTATATTATTTACTTTTTCAAATCACCCAGTATATTACAAAATATAGTGCTTTGCTACCCAGAATTTCAACAATATCTGTATATTTTCTCAATCAAAAAATTGACCGGATCTAAAAATAATTTGGTGGTATGTCATCTTTGGTGAAGTGCACATATTTTATATTTCTCCGCGACACCTCGGATATAATCTGTAAAAATAATGTATTAAAAGTGACATTGTTGAACGACAATATAAACAAAATGTATATTTGTATAAGACCATAGATTATAAAATAATTAAGTGTTGGTAAGTCTAAATAAGGGGCTATGTTAAAATAAATTGAATGGAAAATCCTAGATGTTGAATGTAATTGATTGATATATTTTTTGCCAAGCAAAACTTTTTACATTTGATACGTTTTTTGTAATTTTCGTTGCCACAATGCCGTACGGTTAAGTTCTTTAAAAATATGTTGTAAATATTTACGAGGCCAGATAAAAATTAGTGTCTGTGATTTTATTATATAATACCAAATTAAACTTTTGTACATAGAATATATGAGTTTCCTATTTTCTCGACTTAGTCAATTATATAAGTTTTTACGAGCAATGTAAATATTACTTTTATATTACCAATAAGTGTTAGTTTACTATGTTAAGCCATCGCCATTAAAAATAAATATCTAAGAAAATTATTGTTTTGTTTTACTTTTGTGAACTTTGGTATTCACGCATTTTCTCAAAATTGATATGTTATTATTTGAATTAAATTATCTTAATAATTACCCAAGCACCCTGGCATCTGCGTTCCCGGGATATCTGTCGCAGATCTACGAGCAATCGAACCAATTCAAGAATTTGTACCAATACGCCATGGATTCGCAGTACGCGAACGCGATGCAAGGTTTGTACGCCGGGTATCCAGTAAACCAGCAGCAAATGGTGATGCCATCACAGGAACAGTTAAAATTGTACGCTGATTGGATGTCGACCCAAATGCATTTTTCCCACGCCCAAAATGACGCAAGCCATATTAACAACATGAAGAAACAGTAAACGTCAAATTATTTTGGATTCGGTTACCCAAGTACACAAAGCAGCTCTTTTTCACCTACTGGATCACCTGTTTTGTCCTTGAAATTACTTGAAAAATACAGCCTTATAATTCAGTTTTTTCTTTAATAATACAAGTTTTTTTCGTTCCAGAACTCTTTAAAATACTTAATGTTTACAAAAACAAAATATATCAGTTTTTAGAGCAAATACCAATTCCTATATCTTCACAATGATTTTTAAAATATTATTTACACCAAAATTCACAATTTTTTGGATGACAATCTAGAGGGTGTTTCTCGAAATATACAACTAAACGTTCTATAGAAAATTATCTTATAAAAAGCAATAAACCAATCCGAGTAAGGCAAACTTCACGGCATACTAGGTGTGGTGAAAATACCATGCTCCGATTGGTTTATTGCTTCCTATAGAATCATATTTTAATAGAAAGTAAAATCGCCCTAAAGAAATTTTACAAAAATTACCAGTTTTTGACACTCCCAATAATTTATATGCTCTTGACTTTTACAATCCATTTTTTGTAAAAACGTTTCAAAAATATCAAATAATTTTTTTATTTTCACTATTTTGCGTTTGAAGTTATATTAGTTTGATCATTAAATATAAAACGATATTATTTTATCATAAAATTTGTACTTATATTATTTACTTTTTCAAATCATCCAGTATATTACAAAATATAGTGCTTTGCTAACCAGAATTTCAACAACATCTGTATATTTTCTCAATCAAAAAATTGACCGGATCTAAAAATAATTTGGTGTTATGTCATCTTTGGTGAAGTGCACATATTTTATATTTCTCCGCGACAACTCGGATATAATCTGTAAAAATAATGTATTAAAAGTGACATTGTTGAACGACAATATAAACAAAATGTATATTTGTATAAGACCATAGATTATAAAATAATTAAGTGTTGGTAAGTCTAAATAAGGGGCTATGTTAAAATAAATTGAATGGAAAATCCTAGATGTTGAATGTAATTGATTGATATATTTTTTGCCAAGCAAAACTTTTTACATTTGATACGTTTTTTGTAATTTTCGTTGCCACAATGCCGTACGGTTAAGTTCTTTAAAAATGTGTTGTAAATATTTACGAGGCCAGATAAAAATTAGTGTCTGTGATTTTATTATATAATACCAAATTAAACTTTTGTACATAGAATATATGAGTTTCCTATTTTCTCGACTTAGTCAATTATATAAGTTTTTACGAGCAATGTAAATATTACTTTTATATTACCAATAAGTGTTAGTTTACTATGTGAAGCCATCGCCATTAAAATAAATATCTAAGGAAATTAATGTTTTGTTTTACTTTTGTGAACTTTGGTATTCACGCATTTTCTCAAAATTGATTTGCTATTATTTGAATTAAATTATCTTAATAATGTTTATTACTAAATTTATGAGCAGATAACTTTGGACACCCTATATATTAAATTATAAATGCTTTTTTGTGATTTTTTTTCAAGGTTCCTGTGGGTTAATTGCGAAATACGTTAAAGACGCTTAACGCAATCAGTGTTGCCTACATTCAAAATTATTGGAGCGAAGCTAAAAATATACAGTGTGGAATAAAATCATGACCTGCAATGCCTGGGCATACATAGTGCTATCCCCAGACCGCAAAATCACATTCCCTGCACATGCCAGGAATATTCCCAGGAATATTCCAATCGTCCCAGAATATTCCCAGGAATATTCCTGGCATAATCAAATGTCCGCTTTTTGATTAACCCAGGCATCATAAAAAGAATATTCCATATATCTGCCTGCAGAAGACTCAAGGATTATTAGGGGAATATTCCTTGATATAATTTGGGGATTATATTCCCAGCCTTATTGCCTCTTATACCCAGGAACTTAACTTAAGTATAGCCATTATTGAGTTACTGAGTATATCAGTCCCACTATAATCATTGTTTGGCTGTGCCATCACAGACGCACATCTCCAACTAATATTATTAACCTATCGGTATATATAGTTATCAAGCGTGCGTAAGCAACGGTGAGAGGTATTGCAACTAAACTAATGAATATTCACTGGGAATATTCTTAGATGATGCTTGGAAGTTTTAGAGGATCATTCTAGGAATATTCCCAATGAATATTCCTAGAATGAAGCGGAATATTCCTAGGCGATACGGAATATTCCTGGAATATTTTCGAACCTTCATTGCAGTCTGGGTCAGGCCAATAACTTTTGAACAAGATAAAAGTCATGTTGATTGCAAGGCGTTATTTTAAGTATAAAAAATTCTTGAAAAAACAATGTCTGCATAATATGCATATTATGAAGATTGCAAAAAAAATATAAACTAAAATTATTTTTCTGTTATTTTATTAAAAAATATTTCAACTCGTTAAGGAAGTTCCTTAGATGTGATATTTTCTCAGTTTCTTTTACTTCAAAATGTTATTTTCTTACTTTTTATAAGGATCCTCCTTTAACATATATTTTTTTAATTTAAATGAATTGTAGAATATAATATTACTAAGATTTAAAAATCTATAATAATTCTTTTTAGTAAACAATAGGAGCATTCTTCATAGGCAGTATGTAAAGTCTAAAGGTTAATAAAATCATTTTACAAACATTTTAAAATTGTAATAAACCAATTATTTTAATAATAACTGCTTTTTTTAAATTTGTTAAAAAATGATTTTTTTTTAAATTTTTGTTTATCACAAAGTCTACCTTTGCCAGAGTACACATTTGTACACCGATTTTTATTGATTGCAGTTTCTTGTTCGAGACCCTTTGGTAACTTTAAAATGATATTTACCAAAATCCTAGCTGCTCCTCTTTTCGAAATTTTTTTTTAATTTTTGTTTATCTTACCTTTGACAGAGTACACATTTGTACACCGATTTTTATAATATTGGAGTATATTGTTAACGAGACTTGGAGAATACTGTTTTCATACTGAGCACATCATTAGATTTATACAGGGTTAGCCAAAAATCACTTTTTTTAGTAAAAAGCATAATGCACAAAAAAGATCCCAGCAAACACAACCGTAAAGGTTCTGTAATGGCGCTTTAAACGCGTGCCTTTAATAAACTAAAGGCCCTATAAAGGCTGACTTTAATGGACCTCTACATATTATGTCGCGTTCACCTTTTATGGGCATGTGACGGCAGTCGATAAAGACACTTACAAGAACCGGTAAAGGTTCCGATATGGCAGGTTAAAGGTACAAATGTGGCAAGCTAAAGGTTCTTATATGGGGTGTTAAAGATTCTATAGTGGTTAGTTAAATATTATTTAATGGATAAGTAAAGTACCTATTTTGTCGGATTAAATGTGGTACCTATATATTTACTAGGTACGGATATTCCTAATTGAAATATTTTATCCCGACCGATTTTTGACGGTAGGGATAAAAATTCCCGATTATCGTGTAATATCCGACCTAATAAATATATACCTACCAAATTTAATCCACCATAATAGATAGGTACTTTACTATATTACAAAAATTTCGTTATTATGTAATTCCATTAATGTCCCTAAAACTTTCAAAAAATTAAAAAATACAAAGTGTTTAATGTCACATTTTATAACACATTAATAATGTGTTATAAAATACATGTAATTTAAACATAATTATAACATAACATATTTAAATAAAAAAAAAACTTGACAAATATTATAAAATAAAATCAAATTTCAACAGTTTCCATTTCTAAGGAATCGAATGAATTAAATTGAACACCAAAACAAATTAAGTAGATAAATCCAGTCTCTAGTCCAGTCTTTAGCACAATGGATATATGGCTAAATCACATGCATAAGAGATCTCTATTATATTGCATAATCATTGACGACTGCACTGCACTGTAGGAATGCATTCAAAACGAAAACGAAGCTTTTTCTAGAAAAACTTGCAAATTAGAATCCCATTATAAGACCATGGTCTTATAATGGGATTCTAATTTGCAAGTTTTTCTAGAAAAAAGCTTCGTTTTGAATAGATCTATCTCGAGATAATTAAATAGGATTAAATATTCAAAACATGGTGCGCTAAAAGAAGATTTAAAATTTTAAAATAGGTCACATGAAATAGGTATTTCCTAGGTTATTAAATAGTACGACATTAATGTAAAAATTGTACAGTAAAAATACTTACTTGAAAAAGGTACTACCTAGTTGTTTAGTTCGTTAATAATTAATTATAAAATACACCTATTAGATAATTAATTAATATATCTCAAAACCTATATTATTTTTCTATATGCATATGCATAATACCACTAACATGAGGCAATTCATTAGTAAATATGGTGTAAAGCAAAGGAAAACATTTGGCACTGTAATGGTGTGTTACAGTTCCATTAACTTGATACTTATAATTGCCATATGTGGGCCCTTAATGTTAAATTATACATATAATTGCCTGAAAAGGGCCATTGCAAGACCTTACCACGACAACCTTTGGTCTAAATTGACATTTATTAACGAAAAATTCCTGTAGAGGCCCAGTACAAGAACAGCTTGGGTTAAAAATGCCATCATTTAACCATTAAACGCTGTAATGGGCCATTACATTACCAGACTTATGTGTTTGCTGGGATATATCTCCAAAAAATGTTATTTTGTTTAATTTTATTCAAAATCAATTTTTCTTATAAAGTCTTAATAAAAATCCCATTTGGTAGCCTGATAAACATAAAAATATTTAAAAAAACATGGGTTAGCCAAAAATCAATTTTTTTAGTAAAAAGCATAATGCACAAAAAAATGAAACAAGAACCTGCAATCAGTTTTTGGCGGCATTTTTATGTGACTTAAACTTCGTTCAGGCACACCGTGAATAAAGCGCGTGTGTAAACAATAGTATATTTAAAAAAGTATCAAATTAACCCTGATCTTCATGTTTTAGTTTTACTAGAAAACTATTTAAAATAACTTTTTATTTTAGGCACTGGGTAAAGATACTCTAATATTTTTGTCTATATTTTTATGCTATTTTAATAAAATATTATATTATGTATCAAGTTTAATAAACGCCATTTTAGACAGTGCGAGTGCTTAATTAAATAAGTGTCTAGAAATGTTTATAAACGAGTTGCATACTATACTTTTTCTACGACTATTTCCCTCGTCTTAATTTCCACCAATCACAAACGCGCAATTTTGAATTAGAAATGTTTTCTAGGTGGAAAAACTGTATGACAACACCTGTCAGCAGTTTTTTCGAGTTTACCCGCGGCAAAACTTAACAGCTGTTGTCACCAAAAATTGCAGTTTATATTTTAATTTTACCATAAATAATTAAGTTTGTAGTATTTTACCTATTTCTCAGTTTTCAAATTAATACCTACATATTTATTATGTATGCATGTATAATAGTTGGTATGTTTTGTAAGCTATGAAATAGTCTTGTCAAATACCATTCGGGCATCTAATTTTTCCTGTGAAGAAAATCAAAAAAACACAATGCTAAGTAATATTTTTTAACAAAATGCATTCGTGCAGGTGCAAAAATCCTCCTCTTCGACTCGGATTTTTGTTGCCACCAGCACTCATGCTTCTTGTTAAAATATTACTTAGCAACGTGTTTTTTCGATTTTTTTCGGAAAAATTGGATGCCCTTATGATATTACATGGACCTTCTGGTTTTTTCAAGGTCATTTCAGGATTTCAGGATGTCTTCAGCAGATGCAGACAATGACCAGAAGGTCCTTTTCAGGATTTCAGGGAAATTTTCCTGAAAGAGGTCCTTGTTTATCTCTTAGATCTTTAAGTTGGTACAACTGTCTAACTAGATTTATGTTGGTAACTAAATTTTATAAAAAGTGTACGCTAGCCTAGCCTAGCCTGGGGTATCTGGTCATTGTCTGCATCTGCTAAAGACATCCTGAAATCCTAAAATGACCTTGAAAAAACCAGAAGGTCCATGTCTTCGGTGCTGAAGACATCCTGAAAATCCGAAAATTCAGCCGAAGACATCCTGAAAAACACTTCTTCGGCACTGAAAATCCTGAAAGGTAACACATGCCATCGAATTTGGCGCTGAAACCCGCTCTCTTAACTACTATGGTGTATTTTTTATCTTCTTATAAAATGCCTTTTAAACTTGTATTACTGGAAAAAAACTGTTAATAATTATAATTATAATATATTCAATTTGAAATACCTATAGGTTTTTTATAAGTTTTTGTCCCTGAATTTCATTTTATTTTATGTTTAATAGTGCCTACCTATATTTCTGAGCCGAAAATAAATAAAGTGTAAATTTCTTCAGAAAAAAAGTCCCCTCTACCTACTGTTTCTATTTGAAGAGCAAGCACATAATTTAAAAATTTAAAAGAAAAAATAAGTTGAACATGGTCTAAAATTTAAAATTCTTCAAAAAATATTTAAAAAATAAGACAAATATTTTTTAAATACAATTTTGGTTTTATTTTATAGTCCTTATTATTTATTAAATAGTATTTTTTTTAATTATCTAGGTATTATATTAAAAAGTAGGTAAACATTTATGGAAGGTACCTATGTATGTTTTTAATATTAAAAAAATGAATCAATAAATATTTTTACCCAAGTTTAATGTAAGGGGTAATTATTTTACAATGAAACCAAAGAAAGTAAAAATCAATTGATTTTAAGCATTCAGCTTTTCAATCAGACAAAAATGGAATATTCTTAGAACCTTCCCTTATTGCTAAGAATGTTCTTAGGGACTTTTAAAACATTCAATAGATACACTTTTAATGATGCAATTAGATTCTTAAAATCTTCTTAAAACCTTCCTAAAAAGCATCCTAAGAACATTTTAAGAATACGTTTTTGGAATGTTCAGAAGGTTTCTTATGGAGCTTATAGGAAACTTTTGAGAATATTTCCAAATATGTCAGATACCCACGTTCTAATATGTTGTTTTCTACATTCGTAAAATTCTTCAGGAGACAAATACGCCTCACTGTCATAATATATATGACAGAGAAATGTATTTGTCGTCCCCTTAAATTTTGCGACATACTACTTATATTTATTTAAAAATATTAAATAAACAATTTGACCTCTAAATCATAAGTTTTATGACATTATTTCATAAAAAGTAAAATTGTAAAATTTTGTGGGATAAGTCAGATTAGATTGAAGTTGAAGATATTTAGGATTATTATACATAAAAATGTTAATTCAGAAATAAAAAATCGGTATATAAATTAATAAATATTTATTTTTAACATAAAATAAAATACCTATAGTAAAAGTATTTTTGTTATCGAATATTGTTTTAATTTGACAAATAACTATAAAAAATATTTTGGATTGTGTTTTTTACTTAGTATTTAATACTAATTACTAATAAGGTACTTATAAGTGTAGGTATATATACCTTTATACGTAGTTTATTGTATATTTTACTATTATATAGGCAACTGAACTAAATATGCTTATAACAGGAATATTCCTAAATTAATTATCTATAGCAATTACATTCTAAGCATATGTTTAGAGTAGACTAATTTTACCACTAAAACTTTGCACCTTCTAAGAACCTGCCTATAGGCCAGTAAGAATATTCTTAGGATCATGCTATAAGTCTTTTAAACATGTTCTTTAGAAGAAATATAGCATGATCCTAAGAATATTCTCACTGGAAGGTTTAAAAAACATTCTTAGAATAAAATGTGCTACCAGGGAGGTATGTCCTTCTGAATTTATTTTTTCATATATATTTACAAACAAAAATACTGTCTATTTTTATCCATATCGTTAACGACTGATAAAAATTTTATCAACCAATTTACATTTTAGATGATTTTATGCATGGAGCCTACACAAGGAGTCCGAACTGCATGTAAACAAGAATCTTCCTAAAGAAAGTAGGCGCTGGTGTCCCGTTTATTCTGAAACAATTGACTAATTTGTACCGAAACGCTACCAAAAGAGCAGACGTCAGGACGCATCAACAATCAGCGCCGCAGGTGTTAAAAAAAAAGACTTAATTTGTGCAATTTAGAGGGCAGGTTTTGTCAATTTTCCCTATTAAGTTCGGGCTCCTTGTGTAGGCTCCATGATTTTATGGTTAAAAGCAAATGTCACAAATGTCAAATAAATCTTGATGACGTTTTAATTGTTTTATGTCTAATTTAAAATGTCAATGTATAGAAATTGACTTTTTTAGGGAAAATATAAACGTTGAAAGATCATTACCCAATTTATTATATAAAACCACAAAATCCATGTCGTGCAAAAACCTATATCCACTGATATGTTAATCAGTTGATATAAATTAATCAACGTTTCTGCATACGGCCCTTAGTGTCATGGAAACGTGTACGATAATGTGCGTTTTACAGGTGCACCCATGGGTGTAGAAAGACAGATAAATGACAAATTTTGTATAATTATACTATTATGCCTTTGGCGCGTGCTCGCAAGAAAAGCATGTTTTCCGGAATTGCATCAACTTATTTTTTCGCTTGCGAATAAGCGCACTAATAACTATCTAATCATAGTCTTCCCCCTCTGCGTCTATAACAAATTCTATTTTTGACGTAAGCGCGGCACAGAGAGTTTAGTTTGTGTATGCGAGTGAATGCGCGACTACGTTCGATAGTGCTGTACTAAAGCGCGGCAACAAGTGTCGATAAACAATAGCGCGAAAAAAAAATGAAGACCATTGTGATTTTGTTTATACATTAGAATAAAGTGCGCTTTAAGTATTAACAGGATTTCAACGATTATTCAAGGTAATAATGATACACATTTCACCTGCATGTGAGTCTTTGTTGGGTGAAGGTGATTTAATGAATGTTTGTTATGAAATTTAAATTATCTACTTATTTACTATTATTGTTTCTTTTAATACTATATTTTTATAAAATTATAAGCTAGAAACCTTCACCTCGAAAATTTAAACAACAATGCTTTTGACACACGGTTTAAAAAACCTTTAATGTAAATAATTAAACAAATTAGTTAATTTTATATATTGAACATTGTTTTAAAATTTATATATATGTACGAGGTGTGTTCAGAAAATAACGGGAATTGTTAAATTTCGCGGGTTCGGAGGGTCCGGTTGTCATAAAATTTTTCATCGTTTACTTTGTCTGTGGCAGCCGCTAAGGTTAGACGTGTTTTATGAGCTCGGCGATTTACGTTCGTTAAAGGAAATGGATTAAAGAAATTTGTATCCAATTTTGCTTAAAAAATAAAATAAATTCTGTGAAATGTTAACAAAGGCCTATAGTGAGTCTGCTATAAGTAAAACAAGAGTTTACAAGTTGTATAAGAGTTTCCAAGATGGCCGTGAAGACGTTGAAGATGACGAACGCCCCAAACGCCCAAGCACATTAACAACCGATAAAAACATGGAAAAAGTGGAAGAAATGGTTATAAACCATCAGAGAAGTCGCTGATGATGTTGGTATATCGATTGGCTCATCCCATGAAAATTTTTTGAATGTTTTGAGTATAAAACGCGTGGCAGAAAAATTTGTTCCAAAATTGTTAAATTTTTGTCCAAAAACAATACTGTAATGATGCCCCAGCCTCCATATTTGCCAGACATGCCTCTGTCTGACTTTTTCCTATTCCCAAAAATAAAGAGAACCTTAAAGGGCCGTCGTTTTGCAAGCATAGATGACATTAAAAGCGCATCGCTGAAAGAACTAAAGGCTATCCCAAAGATCGAGTTTTAGAAGTGTTTCGAGTATTGGAAGAAGAGCTGGCACATGTGCATAATATCCAATGGGGACTATTTTAAAGGCGACAACATTAATGTAGACGAATAAATAAATATTTTTTTCAAAAAACGAAAATTCCGATATTTTCTGAACACACCTAGTAGATCTACCTGAGTGGGTCAAAAATCAGCAACTAAAAAGTTTCAAATAAGTATGAATTTTTTAAGTTAATAATAAAAAGTACAAATTTCATAGATATACCTACATGATACAAAGAAAACATGTATCATGATATACCTATATCTCTGACAAATTTGAAGTGTGCAAGATGACTAATGGCGACAAAGACTCTTGTATATTAAAAAACTGTTAAAAAATCGACCATTTTTTTAAGCATACCGTAAGTATTGTTTAAATTTAAACAATATTTAAATGTCAAAAAAATTATCATTTTGAGCTCCTAATATTAGACATGGGACCCACATCAAATTTATATGAGTTTATGTATGTATAGACAAGTTCTGCGCAAGCAGAATTTAAATTGAAGTTTGCGAAAAAAAGTTAGTTTTTAAGTGTGCCCCCCCAGCTTCCTGCCCCCCAAACTAACTGCTACAATATTTAATTCAGTGAAGTTTATCGACAAATTTCAAATTTTATTAAAAAAATTCAAGAATTAAAGGTTTTATACTATTTTAATTTTTTATTATTTCTTTTACTAAATTAAAAAAAAAAATAGAAATGGTATAGAGTCTGTAATTCTTGATTTTTTTTAATAAAATTTAAAATTTGTCGATAAACTTTAGTGAATTAAATATTGTACAACTTTAATTTGAATTATATTAATTTGGGGGGGCAGGAGGCTGGGGGGCACACTTAAAAACTAACTTTTTTCGCAAACTTCAATTTAAATTCTGCTTGCGCAGAACTTGTCTATATAATGTCATTATAAACTTATATAAATTTGATGTGGGTCCCATGACTAATAACTGAGATATGGGTGTGCCCAAAATTCACCAGCCGCCACTAAGTTTATATTAATATTATAATATTAATATTAAGAGGTCCTACATCGAGAATTAGGTATATTTCCCATTGAAATAAAATGGGATTTATTTTTAACTTTATTATTGATAAATTCACTCTTTAAAAAGCCATTCAAGGTCAAAGTTGAATTTACAGTATACAGGGTTGAGTCATTTAACTTTAAACTTTGAAATATCTCAGTTAGTATACATTTTACGAAAAAATGTTTAAAATAAAAATTAAATGATTTTAGGGGAAAATCAATCAGTACTCATAATCTCCTCCTTATAGGGGAACAGGGGTAACTTTAAAATTTCCCTATTTTTTATTGCAGATTAGGATCATTCGACTAAAAATAGTAGATTTGTAATAGATGGAGCTGTAATGAAAAAAAATCAATTTTGTTCGATTTTTCTTCGGTATACGATTCTGCATTAATTTTTCTATAAAATATCACTTTTTTTATTAATTATCTGATTAAATTAAATCTGATTTTTAAGTACCCACGATTTTTAACTAATATTTAAGTTATTTCATTCGGTGATAATTATCAATTGCACACCATGGTCACTTTTTACCTGCCAGCATTAAATCCTTTAATTTAAAGGAATATTGTACTATTTTTAATAAAAATACCTCATTTAAGGTAAAAAAAAACATTGTTTTGTCAATTAATTAAATTAATCCTAATTGAGGTATAAAGAAACTTGAACCTACACCTCGCCAAAGTTTTTTGTTTTGAATGCGTTCCACCAACTTCAAATACCGACAGACAGCTGTTTCGACCTTTATTGGGTCTCATCAGTGTCGGGCAACTACACCTCGCCAAAAAACTTTGGCGAGGTGTAGGTTCAATTTTTTCTTATGAATATTACGAGGGGTAAACCACCTAGGAATTATTGTCACCAGCCTGGGGAATTATGTGGTAATACGGGGAAATGCAGGGAAATATTAGGTAGTACAAGGAAATATCAGGAAATACAATGCAAAATGGGGAAATATAAGGTATTATGAGGAAATATTGGGGTATTATTAGGAAATATTGAGGAAATATCGAGGTATTATTTGCGCATGTAAAGTTACGAACGCACCCGAACATTCACGATGCCAATCGTTTTGGAGGTTTTGTAAATAAGCTAAAGTATTTGTAAATAACTCGGTAAATAAACTCTACTAGTGTAATTTTTATGTTCGTTTTTATGTGTGATGAACTTATTTCATGAAGGTAAGTATACTTCCTTATATATTATTTTTAAGTTTTATTTAATATATCCCCCATAATAATGACCTAACAAACTCCTAACCTATATTAGTGAAAAATGTATTTTATTATTTGATAGAAAAAACCTCGGAAACATATAAAACATAATCTTAACAATCTAAGTATGCACATTGCATATTCACAATAACTCACAAAAGAATTCACATAAAGTTTTAATGTTTATTTTGCTTATTTATTTATTATAATAAATCTTTATACCTACCTACACTGAAAAAAATTATTACATTTAAATGTAAAGTTACAGGATTATTACCATATAAATTCCTAATTTTTACGACAAATTGTAAAATTACCTTTATTTTCGTCTAATTTTTATGTATTTCAAGTAAAACAACATTTTTGTTTGTAAAATTACCAATGTTATGTAGGTATTAATTATTGATACAACAAGTAAATTTAACGAACTAAATGTAAAAAATACAATTATAACGTCTTACTGCATTATTTCAAATGTAAATATACTTTATTAGTCTTAATATTACAGGTTTTAATGTTTTTTTACATTCGGAGTGTAGTAAAAATCGCAAAATTACATTTCATATGTAACTGGAGAAGAAGCCTATTGGCTGGGAATTCGCGCATGCTGCCCACGCATCGGCATGTTAATGTTATCATGTATAAATACATTTCAAATAAAAAACATATTACATTAAAAATGTTATTTTACATAAAAAATGTAAATGAGTTACACGTCAATTATGCTATTACATTTTACATGTAAAATAATAATGAAATGGAATATTTCAGTTACCAACAAGGCATCAAAATAACCAATCTCCATTACCGGAAATTTACATGATTTTTTTTTTCAGTGTAGGTCATTTGGCCATTACTTGGGTCATTATGGATATATTAGCTACTATATCGATGACTTTCTGCCAAAGTATCGCAAGCAACAACAACTCAAATTTCGGGAATTGAAAACATTTTTTTGTTTTAAAGTCTGTTTTAAATTAAATATAGCAAGCAAATAGATTATAATTATAGCTATTTACTTGTTATAAAACCTATAGGTTTAAAACATACTTTAAAACAAAAATTGTTTTCAATTCCCAAAATTTGAGTTGTTGCTTGCGATACTTTGGCAGAAAGTCATCGATATATTGGCAGTTGTGAGTGCGATTGTGTAAAATAGGCTTAGACTCTTTGCTTAGACTAACAGTCTTCATACCAAATCACCGAGCAAATCGCGTACTACCTTAAGGTACGGTTTAGAATATGATTTATTTTAAATTTCTCAAATGTGAGTTAGACAACTATGTTTGGCCTCTCCGCCCAGACAATGCGAATGTAGAACATAAATATATAATATATGGTCCTCTCAACCTCATTGGAAACGGTCCTTTCCAGTTAAAGAGGCAAGATATCATAAATATAAATAAAAAATATAAATTATGTCGTTCGACGTTATAATTAATTTTGAAGGCAACAAGGCTTGTGGATCTTCTTTGTTAAAGAATTTTTTTAAATAAAAACTCGAGTAAAAAGTATTTTATTTTAGTTTATTTTTGTTGTTGATATTTATGTAAGTTAAGGTATGTTTATTTATAAATAAATAACTACTCTTCCGAATTAATGTTTTTATTATGAAAACTCTAAAAGGCACTTAACTTACTTTGCCTTTTCAAATAATTTCTACATATGTATGTACATACTTTAAATAAAACTGCTTAGGTAAAGTACTTAAATATTCTTGTTAATAATAATAAAGGAAATACCGGGCAATATTGGGGAATTATCAGGAATTACTGAAGAATTATGGAAAATATCGGAAATACTAGGGGAATTATAATAAAGGAAATACCGGGCAATATTGGGGAATTATCAGAAATTGCTGAGGAATTATGGGAAATATCAGAAATTACTGAGGAATTATGGGAAATATCAGGGAATTATAAGGCATTTTAGGGAATTATGTGGCAATATCGGGAATTACGAGAAAATATAGGAAATAAAGGCAATATTTGTGAAATAATTCCCCCAAGGGGAAATATTTGTACAAAATCTCAGGGGTGGTTTACCCCTCGGAATATTACCAGTGATGGGTCAAAAGTTTCTTAAAGAAACTAAGAAAATTGAATGTTTACCTATAAAGAAACTATTTATACATAGTTTAGCATTATTTAATCAATTTAGTTCAAAGATTAATTTGCAAATAAAAAGACCTCCTTTCAGTTATTCATAATGGATTTTTTAACAGTGTAAGAAAAAATAGGAATGATTTTGATTTATGGAGAAGCAGGCAGGAATCTTGAACAACAACTCATTAAATTAACTGATCATTTCAATAGCAATTCTTTAAAACCATATTTACAAATAGATGCAATACATCATAAATAAATAGTTTCAAAATTACGAAATGAATATTGCCTGTCAGTCAAACAATGGAAACAATATTCAAAATGCAATCATTACAGATTTTATTGAGGAAAATAATACATTGGAGCTATCTTTTACCTCTACATCCAGAATTATTCATAATAATTGTTCATTTACTAACTGTTCATTTAAATAAATTTAAAAGAGACTTAATCATCAATATTCCTCCAACAAATAATATCAAATGGAGGTACAATTCGCTGGCCAGCAAGTTCACCGCATCCGTCTCCTAATGATGAATTTTTAGTTTGGGGGTATATGAAATCCAGCATATATGAACATGTAAATATATTATAACATTGTAATATTGATAACAATTGACAGCAATTTATCTGTTGACTCTGATAACATAATTTGAAAGAATTTTATTCACTACTACATTTATTGTTTATTTACTAGAAATGTCCACGCGATAAAGATTACCTACGGTTAAAATGTTTTTGAAATCATTATAAAAACTCATTATATAGGTATACAGTGTGGTTCTTACTTATGAATTAATTAATAATTTGAAAATAAAAGGTTTCGTTTTTTGATATGTCATTACATTCCAGGGCGTATGTTTACTAAATCCTACTTATGGGGTATAGTGGTACTCAGAAAAATGAATAAATAAAGAAATATATAGTTATTTATGTCATTAGGTTAAGAAGTAAGGCTTTTTGTGCTAACCTCAAGGTTTGAGCGAAGCACAAAAAGGCACTTCTTGCCGAATGGCACTTTATATAGGTCAATTTAATTCAACATCAAAGCGGCCTAACCTCACTTTTTTAGAATCTCATTTATTTAAAAATTACATTAAATGTACAATAATTATTATTGCTTTTAGAAGCAGTAGTAGTTTGACAATACCTAGCAACATGATTTAAGTAGGAATGTATTTTTGCTATTACATTGAATTCAATTAATTGTTTAATAAATAGGTAGGTATCTAATTTCAATTTGTTTGGATTTTTATTTAAAAAATAGATAGTTTGGAATGTTTAAGCTGTGTTTAACATTTAATTTCACTGAAAACTTAAAGCAAATTAAAACTTAAAGATAATTTAAATCGTAGAAAAAGAATCGTGCGTTTTCTTGGTTGCCTAACCTCACTTTTTGTTTTATTATTCATATTTAATTTTACAATAATTTAATGAAAAATATTAAACATTAACGGTAAAACAAACAAATTAGTGCTTATTATAAATAAATTAAACCAGTTTAGTACGTTAATTTTTTAGAAAAGAATTAATTTGTCAAAACAATACCCCTAGCGAGAAAAAATCGAACTGATTACTTGCCTCATAAAATTTTTTATCGGCCTAGGCCATAACAAGGTATTTCTTTCTCGAATGTTGACAACAATAAAGTTTAAATTATAGACCGCGTGGAGATAAAAATATGTATAAATACAAATTTTCAAAAAATTACATTGTTAATTAAAGAAAAGCGTGCGTTAACAGAAGTCGATCTGCGTCAATGATGGCATTACATATGTACGTAATAATTACTAAAACTGTAAAGGAAATCCTATTAAAGGTAAATAAATCGATGGTGTCCAGTAATACACACGTGTCATATATTTTCATGTATAACGTAACCTATGTTTATTGATTTAAACTAAAAGGCCGAGTGGTATTTTACTAATTAAATTATTGTATTAAGTAACTAATAAAAATGCAAACTTTAGTCGCGGCCAAATCTGCACGTCATTAACGGCATATGACGTCAGCGTTAAGGTCTATTCATCCGTGCCGAATATTGTCAAACGAGTATGACATATTTTTGTAGGAAAAAAAAGGGGGTGACGTTCACAATATCGAAATTCATTATATCGAATTCAAAATATCGAACACTTTTTATCGAAAATCAAAATATCGAAAATACAAAATGTCGAAAATCAAAATATCGAAAATTCAAAATGTCGAAAATGATAATATCGAAAATTAAAATGTCGATTTGAAAATGTCGAATAATTAAAATATCGAAAATTAAAATATCGATTTGAAAATATCGAATAAATAAAATATATAAAATATCGTTGAGTAATTAATTTTATTTTATTATAGGTTAATATACCAAACTAACCCAAACTTAACAACCCAACCCAACCGACCCCGCCCCATGGGCCCCTCCCGCCCCATTGTCACAATCCAGCCTGCCCTTAGATATATTATACCTCTATTGCTCAATGGGGCGGGAGGGGCCCAATGGGGCGGGGTCGGTTGGGTTGGGTTGTTAAGTTTGGGTTGGTTTGGTATGGCACAATGCAGTGTACCTGCATAACCAAGATGACAGCTATTCGTCATAACCTTGAGGAATACTTGCTAGCCTCTAGTCCAATTATTACTTGATTAAACCGGCAACACTGTCAACTTAATAATGACCGACTGTCGCCATCCGCTAGTGTGATATTTTGCTCTTACAATATTTTAATTTTTAATATTCTGTAATTTCGATATTTTATATGTCCATATTATTATAATCGATATTTTAAGCAGTCGAGATTTTATTTTCGATAAATTGAAAATTCGATTAAATAAAATTTCGATATTTTCATTTCGACATTTTGTATTTTCGATATTTTGATTTTCGACATTTTGTATTTTCGATATTTTGATTTTCGATAAAAAGTGTTCGATATTTTGAATTCGATAAAGTGAATTTCGATATTATGAACGTCACCCAAAAAAAGGTCTGATGTGTTTAATTAACTCACCTTTTTTGTAGAGCGTTAAATTTCCTACAAAAATATGTTATAAACTGTTAAAAAAAATTTTTTTTATAAATTCTTCAAACTTTTATTTTGAATATCTTTTAATTGGTTAAAGTAATCGCCTAAACACATCAGTCCTTTTTTGTAGAGCATTTAATTTCCTACAAAAATATGTATAAAGATTTGATTAATAATGAAATATGGTCTTTTTTATAAGGGACTAAAGAAAAAATGGAAAACTATGATAAGGAGGATCTTTCTATAAATGCTCAAATTTGTTAAGCACTTTCTAGAGGTGCCAATTTTTCAGTGTCGAAATTTAAAAAAATATATTCGATTTTTTTAATCACCTTAATCTGTATATGAGCTTTTTGTTGGTTATCATAGGGCATTAACCCTGATAGCACACTTTATTCTAAGAATGTTTTTAAAACCTTCCAGTGAGAATATTCTTAGGATCATGCTATATTTCTTTTAAAGAACATGGTTAAGACATATAGCATGATCCTAAGAATATTCTTAATGGCCTATAGGCAGGTTCTTAGAAGGTGCAAAGTTTTAGTAGTAAAAATTAGTCTCTAAAACTATGTTTAGAATGTTAAGAAAGTAATTGCTACAGAAATTTCTGTAGCAATTAAGTTCATTTAGGAATATTCCTGTTAAGCATATTTAGTTCAGTTACCTATATAATAGTAAATTATACCATAAAATACGTATAAAGGTATATACCTATATTTAAGTACCTAATTAGTAATTAGTATTAAATACTAAGTAAAAAACACAATCCAAAATATTTTTTTATAGTTATTTGTCAAATTAAAACAATATTCGATAACAAAAATACTTTTACTATAGGTGTTTTATTGTATGTTAAAATAAATATTTATTAATTTGTATACCTACCGATTTTTTATTTCTGAATTAACATTTTTATGTATAATAATTCTAACTATCTTCAACTTCAATCTAATCTGACTTATCCCACAAAATTTTCCAATTTTAATTTTTATGAAATAATGTCATACAACTTATGGTTTAGAGGTCAAATTGTTTATTTAATATTTTTAAATAAATATACCTATATTAATATGTCGCAAAATTTTTTAAGGGGACGACAAATACATTTCACTGTCATATTATGACAGTGAGGCGTATTTGTCGTCTCCTGAAGAATTTTACGAATGTAGAATACAACATATTAGAACGTGGGTATCTGACATATTTGGAAATATTCTCAAAAGCTTCCTAGAAGCTCAATAAGAAACCTTCTAAGAACATTCCAAAAACGTATTCTTAAAATGTTTTTAGGATGCTTTTTAGGAAGGTTTTAAGAAGCTTTTAAGAATCTAATTGCATCATTAAAAGGGTATCTATTGAATGTTTTAAAAGTCCCTAAGAACATTCTTACCCAAGGTTCTAAGAATATTCCATTATTCCGGGTCATATATCATGAAATTTTGCTATCAGGGATAATGTATACCAAAACAATACACAGGCCTAAAAAATTTTTGAACAGAAACCTAAAGGTTGAATCGGGACTCGACCTCTGAATTGCTTAATTACATACGGTTTTCAAGAAAGGGGCATCAAAATGATGTATTCTGATTTTTTTGCAGACCTGTAATATTTTTATCTATTTATTTCAGATGTCGGTTATGGATGAAGTCGAAGATATTATGTGTGACCAGTCTATATTATATGCGGAAAATTATGATACCAAAAAATCATATTTAATTATACCCACAACGTAAGTATTATTATATTAATTATTTTAACATTTAAAAGTTTTTTATCTTGAAATTTTTAAGGCAAAATAATATTTGTAATAAAATATTAATCCGGGACCAATTAGTCGATTTCTGAATAAATTATTCAAGCTATTCAATACGGAATAAGGATTATTTTAGTGGAAGTTTTAACTTTTATATATTTTAATATTTTTATGATTTTTCTAGTACTTACGAGACTTTTCTGGCAATAAATTTTGTTTAGCACCAAAAAAAATCCTTTTCTTCTTCTTTAACATTAACAGCCGTTGTAAATAAGTAAATTAAGGACGGCATGGCGAATCGATTTTGACATTAACTGTCAAACCAATGACTGATACCAACTATCTAAAGTAAAATTCGACCAAATTAAATTTTATGTATAAAATTAATTTTTATAGAGTTTTTGCAAAATAGATAAAATAGCATGTCATTAGACCTTTTGTCGCACTCGTCCATTATAAATTGTCCCCGTGCGACAAAATAAAATCTTATGACATTAGTTCTTTAATATTCTATTTAGATCGCCTTTTGGTTTTTTTTCAAATCGTTTTTTATCTATTCACAAACTAAACAAAATAACGTTAAATTAATCTAAACAAATTATGTTATTAAACACAAAATACAGAAAAACCATACGTATACATTTGAATGAAACATAAAAAATGAATTTAAACACCGTACACGTATTATAGACATATTATACAGGTATTATACGTTATATAATTAATAGACATATTTTATGGAGAAAGCGAAATATAATTATTTCAGTTGAATCGGTGAGATTAAGAACAGTAGAAGTCCAAAAGTTTAAATTTTGACAAATTTTAACTATTTTATAAAATTCTTCAAAATGATTTACGAGGTGTGTTCAGAAAATAACGGGAATTGTTAAATTTCGCGGCTTCGGAGGGTCCGGTTGTCATAAAATTTTCTTTATTATGTTGGTATACATGCCCCCGAAGTATGATAACAACTTTAGCTGTTTTCATTGTTTACTTTGTCTGTGGCAGCCGCTAAGGTTAGACGTGTTTTATGAGGTCGGCGATTTTTCGTTCTCTAAAAGAAATGGATCAAAGAATTTGTATCCAATTTTGCTTAAAAATTGAAATAAATTCTGTGCAATGTTAACAAACGCCTATAGTGAGTCTGCTATAAGTAAAACAAGAGTTTACAAGTGGTATAAGAGTTTCCAAGATGGCCGTGAAGACGTTGAAGATGACGAACGCCCCGAACGCACAAGCACATTAACAACAGTGGCGGCTCGTGGGTGTACAGGAGGGTGAGGCTACATAAGGTTAATTTTGTCTAAATACGAATAAATTTCCACGTCACCCGGGAGGTATTATTCTCCGACGCGTTGACCTTTTTTAAAATGGAGCCGATAGCACTACTAAACCAAAAAATAAACTCTAAAAAACAAAACAAACAAAATATCACATCAAAGACTAGTTTTAATCTTAAACTTAAAAAATTGTCTTAAAAAAGTTAAAAATAAATAAATTAATCAAAAAATAAAAATAAAACTAAAAAGTCGACCCCTACCTAAGTATTAAAAAATATAAAATACTATACGTCTATCTTTTAAGATTGAAAATTTATCTATTATTTGGTCGTAAAATTGTTGGTCTGCAGTGAGATTTAAAAGTAATTCTAAATTTTCAAACCGCGTCTCTAATTGAAGAATTATGCAATCTATTATTTCAAAATATAAAATTTGCTTAATAAAAACTGCTAAATCTACCTTAGTGTGTTCCCTACAATAATTAAATAAGAAATTTTACTAATCGAGACAAAAACTATAAAAGATCACCCAAAAGTTTTAAATAATTTAATCTGAATCAAAACAATAACGTGCTCTACAAGCGCTAAGATAAGACTGACAACCTTCAGAGATCTTTGTCTCCGCTGGCATCCCACCATAAACGAACGACCAATCAGAACAAACCAAGCTAACTTGATTTCGCCTCATGTACGGTGTTTATTCGCGAACTTACGGCGATATTTTTGTTGGTGAGTCATTTTCGCTTTCAAGACGTAAATGGGAGCTTCCGAGGCTGTGAAAATTTCGCCTCTGTCCAAGCCAAGATACATACAACAAGCGACTCGACGCGCTTTGCGCCTGGATTTTTATTTACGCTTAATATTATTGATTGGTTTTTTACTTTTTATTGGGTAGAACTGTTGTAAAAATACACTTGTAATAGGCAAAAATATAAATACAAAAAGTCGTTCGTTCCTTCATTTTAAGGGTGAGGCGCGGCCTCAGAGGCCTACCCTGACGAGCCGCCACTGATTAACAACCGATAAAAACATGGAAAAAGTGGAAGAAATGGTTATAAACCAACAGAGAAGTCGCTGATGATGTTGGTATATCGATTGGCTCATCCCATGAAATTTTTTCGAATGTTTTGGGTGTGAAACGCGTGGCAGCAAAATTTGTTCTAAAATTGTTAAATTTTGAATAAAATTTTTGGCCAAAAACAATACTGTAATGATGCCCCAGCCTCCATTTTCGCCAGACATGCCTCTGTCTGACTTTTTCCTATTTCCAAAAATAAAGAGAACCTTAAAGGGCCGTCGTTTTGCAAGCATAGATGACATTAAAAGCGCATCGCTGAAAGAACTAAAGGCTATTCCAAAGATCGAGTTTTAGAAGTGTTTCGAGTATTGGAAGAAGAGCTGGCACATGTGCATAATATCCAATGGGGACTATTTTAAAGGTGACAACAGTAATGTAGACAAATAAATAAATATTTGTTTCAAAAAACGAAAATTCCCGATATTTTCTGAACACACCTCGTATATCTTCTCACAAAAATTTATTTTGAATTTTTAAATTGATTTTAGAAAATGACTTGTCAAAATTAAATTTTTGGACTTATACTTTTCTTATTCTCACCGATTCAATTATAATATATATAAACGCCGTTATAATTAATAATTTAAATTATGCATACCATACTTTTTCTAAAAAGATTTAAATTAAATATTTGTATATTCAATAATTCGCGTAAGAATGGGAATCTGTATTGCCTTTAAATGTCAAATTTTTCAGTGTAAATCAAAATTTATCCCTTGAAAATAAACTAACAACTGTTTAATTCCGATATACAAGCAGTTTTCTACACTGAAAGTGAAGAGAATGTTTTATGGATACTACACCCGAAATTTTTATGCCTTATCAGTTAAATCTAGTTTACGGTACAACTGATTATAAACTTTTGAAATATTGGCGTTGAGAAACTATTTAATAAAAAATTAATAAATAATAAATATATTAATAAAAAATAAATATTAAACTATTTACTTTGGTATTGAGATAATACTTCGCATTTAGTATTATTTTATAAAAATGGCCCTTTATTTTAACAATTTTATGATATTTAAACAACTGTCAACTAACCTAAAGCTAACTTCAGCCCGTGACTAAAGCGCCATAAAGCCAAAACTTGTCAATGTGTATTTAAAAGGTCACTTAGTGTCATGGAAACATGTACGATAAAGGGCGTTTTAAAGGTGGGAGTAGAAAAACTAAATTAAGTGGTTTCATTAAAAAGGTATACTGATAAATATTTAATTATTTTTAAATAAAATATTGACTATAGTCCTATAGGTACATAATTATAAAAATATAGGAAATCGTTTCTGATACTTTACATATAAAATGGTTTAAATTTAAAACGCAAAATGTATTGCTTTAAGCAACAATAAACCAGTTTATATTTAAATAATGCAATAGCTGGTATTATTACAATATACTTAAACATAATTATTATAATGGTATATAAATAAAGAAAAACAAATCAACGTATTTACCTTTGGTAACTTAAAAATGATATTTACCAAAATCCTTCAAAATTATTTTTTATTTTAATTTTTGTTTATCTTACCTTTGACTAGAGATGTAAAAAAACGGTTTTTTTCCAGATGTGAAAAAAAACATGAAAAAAAACCTAGAAAAAAAACGGTTTTTTTTGTTTTTTTCAAAATGAAATTTTGAGTAAAATATACCTATATTAATAATAAAGTGAAATGTAGAATATATTAAATTTTTCATTATTGAAAATTTTGACCGAGACCAAAAAATCTGATTTCTTATTATTTGGTAATTTCCACATTAGAAACCAGTAGCAATGTAAAACTTCTACACCAATACAAAAAATTAAAGGATAAAAAAAATTGTTTTGCGATTCTTCGCATAGCTGTATCTTTGTTAAAAATGGTCGTATTGGAGCCGTAAAAAAAGCAATTTGAAGCTTGAAGTTTCTAGTTTTGATATTTTTAGATGAAAAATGTGCAACGCTCAATCCTAACAAATACCGTAATAAAAAAAATCGATTTTTTTTTGGCTTTCTGTTCCACGGAATGTTCTGACTTTACCACCAATGAATAAATGTTCTACAAGAATTTTTGAAAAAAAAATTCCATACTCTACATGAATTTGAAAAATCATGAAAAAGTGCTTTTGGTAGCTTTTTGAAAAATCGCTGAATCAAAAATATTATATGTAGGTAGTTACTTTTTTTAGGACCAAATCAAAACAAGCGCGGCCCTTATTGGTCAATTCGGTGGTGGTGGCGCGTGCATAGCGCGAGACTGTATTTACATTTATTAATTGTCATTTAGTGGCTAATTTTAGTTCATGAAACCTAAAAAATTAGGCAAATGGGACTAATCTTGAAAAAAAACCTAAAATGTGAAAATGAACCATTTGAAAAAAATCAATGAAAAAAAAAACAAAAAAAACGGACCGTTTTTTTTTCAAGTCGCATCTCTACCTTTGACAGAGTACACATTTGTACACCGATTTTTATAATATTGGAGTATATTGTTAACGAGACTTGGAGAATACTATTTTCGTACTGAGCACATTACAGATTTATACAGGGTTAGCCAAAAATCACTTTTTTATATAGTAAAAAGCATAATGCACAAAAAAGATTTATCTCAAAAAATGTTGTTATTTAATTTCATTTAA